TGGGCTGCCTTGTCTGGCCTCAGCAGAAGATGTGTCTGCTCCTAGTGCAAGTTGATATACCAAGGCAGGTTGGTATTCAGGGGAGGCCTCCCCTTTTCTGAGGAGAAAGGGAGAGGCTGGGGAATGGTAAGGGGAGGACAGGAGTGGGGAAAGCAGCTATCAGGATGTAAAAAGTAGTTAACGAAAAAAGAATAAAATTGAGGAAAAATGAACAACAACAACAAAAAACCCAATAGCTGGGCGGTGGTGGCGCACGCTTTTAATCCCAGCACTTGGGAGGCAGAGGCAGGCGGATTTCTGAGTTCGAGGCCAGCCTGGCCTACAGAGTGAGTCCCAGGACAGCCAGAACTACACAGAGAAACCCTGTCTCCAAAAACAACAACAACAAAAATAAATAAATAAATAAATAAATAAACCCAATAAAGCAAAAGATGTATTCTTTGAGAATATTACTGTTTCACCCATTTCTGAAGACAAAGTGAATTAAAAGAGAGTGGTACGGTCAATTGCCTGCCAGCACATAGTAGCATATTTGAGGGGAACGAGTTCCTGGAAACACAAAGTCTACCAAGACACAACTGTGTTGTAAGAAAATACACTATCTGAATAGGTGGAGACATAACAAGCAGCTGAGCCGGGCACTCATGCAGCAGAGGCAGGCGGATCTCTGAGTTCAAGGCCAATCTGGTCTACAGAGTGAGTTCCAGGACAGCCAGGGCTACACAGAGAAACCCTGTCTCCAAAAAGGAAAAAAAAAAAAAAATTAAAAAAATTAAAAAAGGAAAAAAAAAGAAGAAAAGAGGAAAAAGGAAATGAAATCAGCATAAATCCACCAAACACATAATAACTGTGGTCACAGGTATTTTATTGGTGAATTCTACCAAACGTATATAGCAACATAAAAGAAAATTGTGTTGGACTGGAGAAATGGTTCAGAGGTTAAGAGCACTAAGTGCTCTTCCAGAGGTCCTGAATTCAATTCCCAGCAACCACATGGCGGCTCACAACCATCTGTAATTGGATCTGATGCCCTCTTCTGGTGTGTCTGAAGATGGCTACAGTGTACTCACATACATAAAACAAATTTTAAAAAAAGAAAAAGGAAATTGTGTCATTCACAATTTAAATATACAAACTGAGGAGGAGAAAAACATATCCTAACTAATTCTAGGAGGCTAGCATTACTCTGTTACCAGATTGAGACAACTTTACTCTAATGGTTTGTATATTGTGCCCAGGGAGTGGCACTATTAGGAGGTGTGGCCTTGTTGAAGTAGGCGTGTCACTGTGGGTGTGGGCTATAAGACCCTCATCCTAGCTGCCTGGAAGTCAATCTTCTGCTAGCAGCCTTCAGATGAAGATGTAGAACTCTCAGCTCCTCCTGCACCATACCCTCCAGCCTGGATGCCGCCATGTTCCTACCTTGATGATAATGGACTGAACCTCTGAACCTGTAAGGCAGCCCCAATTGAATGTTGTCCTTTGTAAGAGTTCCCTTGGTCATGGAGTCTGTCCACAGCAGTAAAACCCTAACTAAGACACATACCATAAAACAAAAAACCCACAGATCAATATTGACTATCAGGAGAAGAATACTGATGTGAATTTCTCAGTGAAATACTAGCGTATCTAACTCAGCAGCACACTGGGTGATCACATCGCATGACTAAATAGGATTTATTTCTGGAAAGCAAGGATGATTCCACATATAAAAATCGATCACTACAATGTATCATGATGTTAGAATGAGTCTTAAAGGCCACTTGATTGTTTCCATTGATCTAGAAATAATTTAATAAAATTAAGTTTTCATGATGAGTAGTGCATTTTTTTAAAAACTAGGAATAGAGACAAACTACTTCCACCCTAAGATGCACATATGAAAAGCCAATGGTGAAAGACTGAATGCCTCTAAGGGACAGTGCAAGAAGTCTTGCTTTTATAATTTCTGTTTAACACAGACTCTGGCTTGAACAGTTAGGCAGGTGTGATGATGGTGACTCTTGGTTGTCAACTTGACACACCTGGGAAGAGAGAGCCTCAACAGATGAATTTTCTGCATCAGACTGGCTAGTGGGCATTTTTGTGGAGCATTTTATTGATTGCTAACTTATGTGAGGAGAGCCTCTCCCACCAGGGGCTGTTCCATACCTGGGCAGGTGGGCCTAGGTTGTATACAGAAGGTACAGAGCAATCCAGGGAAGAAAGCAAGCTAGGAATAGCACCAAGGTCTCTGCTTACTCCAGGTTCCTGCTTTGAGTTTCCTCAGTATCTTATAAAGCAAACCCTTTCCTCCCCATCTTCTTTCTGGTTAGTGTTTTGTCACAGCAACATAGAAGCAAACTAGGACATCGAAGAGACAGTGCATTCAAGTGAAAAGTGTCTCTCCTTTCTGGTTATATGATTTGATATGTTCCTAAAGATTCCACACATGCACACACAAAACTCCCAGGAGGTAATTAAATTAATTAGCGACGCCTTTAATCCCAGCACTTGGGAGGCAGAGGCAGGCAGATTTCTGAGTTCGAGGCCAGCCTGGTCTACAGAGTGAGTTCCAGGACAGCCAGGGCTACACAGAGAAACCCTGTCTTGAAAAACCAAAACAAACAAACAAAAAATTAATTAGCAAAGTAGCTGGGTATAGGGTCGCACATAAAATCAGTTGTATTTTTATATCCTAACAATGAACAATATACCACCAGGTAGGCTCTGCTCCTTTTCACCTCATAGGCTCTCCCAAATCTCACTTCCTCTGCTTCCAGTAGACGCTGCTCTGCCTCACCCCACAGGTTTCCAGCGTTCTCCTGAATCTCAGTCCCATGACTTACCAGGAAGGTTCCACTTTTTCTCTACTCCATGGGCTTCCAGACTTTCTCTCTAGCTTCTCCAGGACCTCCCAACCCCATGACTGACAAGAGTTGACTCCAAACATGGAGAACCACAGCAGAAGGTGGCAGTGAAGAGGACCAACAAGTGTGCTGACCCTTGGATAGTGACTGTTGGTGCAAACGGTCATGGATTCTCAAAAGTGGGTTAGGGATGCTTTTGGTGGCTTGTGCCTTTGAGCCAGGCACCTGAGAGGCGGAGACAGGTGATTCTCAGGACTACATAGGAAGAGAATGTCTTAAAAAACCAAAGTCACTAACGTTTTATGTGTCAGACAGCATGGGCTGCTTAAATAAGGTGGCCCTGGGTTCATTTCTATCATCATCCAAAACCAAAATGCAAGGAATGAAACCACCACCACCACCTCCAACAACAACAACAAAAAGCAAAAGCTTAAGAAAACTTCATAGGTGTATAAGATAAGGTAAAGTAGGTCTTCATAATCTTTCAAAGCAAACAGACTAATACTAAAACTAAAGGCGAATGCATTTCAATTGTAATTGAAGCCGATTTCTAGACTTTGAGTTTGGAGACGTGAAACCTGTTCAACTGTCTTCTAAAAGCTTTGTATTTGTTTTGTATTTCTAGTATAGACAGTATGCCAATGAATGAGTCCTTATTAAGAAGGAACATATCAAAAGACAAAAAAACAAACAACAACAATCCAAACAAACAAAAAAAGGGGGAAGCAAAGAGAGGGAAGCCCAGACCAGGGGTTGACCCTTGCTTCCCCAGCCCAGCCCAGCCCAGCCCAGCTGGGAACCTTAGGGGCCGGGGGAGGGGGCGACCCGGAGGCACGCGACGGCACTTCCGGTGCGGGAGCCCGATACTTCCCGGCTGGTCTTGCGTCCAGCCGCCATTCTCGAGGCTGTGCACCCGGCCCAGCGTTTCCTGTGGGCGTTTCCTCTTCTTCACTCCAGGACACCTCGCCGGAAGGTGAGGAGCCGGCGGGCGCCTCGGTACGGGCTGCAGGGTTCGGCGGGCGGGCGCCGTGGTGCGGGCCGGCGCCTTGGTGAGCTTGGCGCGGCCTGGAGGCCGGAGCGCACCCCGTGGCTTCTTCCTGCTCTCCGCCTCCGAGGCCGGCCCCCTTTTTTTTTTTTTTTTTAAATCTTGCTTCTGTCGATGTCGCGTGGTGGCGCACAGGATGGGAGGGGGCAATATCGGTCTGGAATTTGCTTTAGGGCTGCTGTCCCAAGGCTCCGAAGACCTGTGACCTGTGGCAGAAGTTCCCCCGACGTGGACCGTATAGGGGGTTAGCCTTGTCCAGGGGACCTTTGGGATGGCTGCAGCCTAGCAGGGTGTTTTCCCAGAAAGGGACAGGGCTTTGGCACTTTGCTCTGGAGTGAAAACTGGTGCCAGTCTAGTGTTCCCTCACATTTAAACTAAAGATCACTCAGTGCCTAGAAGTTCTACCCCCCAGGTAAACGGATCGTGCTTGTCAAGAACACAGGGAACTCAGGGCAGTAAGTTACTCTGTGGACCCTAATGACATACGGGTGATAATGCACTCGGCCTCTCCTATAAATTGTGTACCTCCTAAGTTAGGCTGGGGTTGCAGCTCGATGGTTAACCCTTGTTTCGCAAGACTGAGGCCTTGGGTCCCGTCCCAGCACTCGGGAACAAAAAAGTATCACTTGTTACAAATTACCTCACTAATTAACGCAAATTGTTAATAGAATTGGAAAACCTGTAGAAAAGTGCGAGTTATTTGTGCTTTGTGGCTGTTTTTTTTTTAACACAAAACCAGTCAAAAATGTATATAACCATAAAAAAAAAAAGACTATTCATAAAGACCAGTTGGACTAGTATGTATATAGGCTAATAGATCCCATCGTCCTAGGTTGCTTTCTGTTGTTGTGATCAAAAACAGCTTTGGGGAGGAAAGGATTAATTTCATCTTACACGTTATAGTCCATTGTTGAGGGCATTAAGGGCAGGAACTCAAGTGGAAAATACAGAATAAAACTGTGTACTAGCTAGCTCCCAGCCTCACAATTCAGTTCCCTTTCTTATACAGCAAAGGCCTACAAGCCTAGGGACAGTACCTGCTACAGTGCGTTGTACTTCCTACATCAATTATAAATCAAGAAAATCCCCACAGATGCCTATAGACCAGGATGATGGAGACAGTTCTTCAGTTGAGGCTCCCGTATCCCAGGTGTGTCAAGTTGGCAACCAGTGTAGCTTACGTATCCACTAAGCTTACAGGCGCTTTATGTTGGATTTTTAATATAAAACATGTATAGCAAAGTGTATTTTTAAGAGACTATTAAGGCCAGGTATGGTGACTCGATGCCTCTCATCCAAGAACTCGGGAGGCAGGAAAAGGTGGCACTCCGTGAGTTGGAGGCCAGCCTGGTCTACATGGTGAGTTCCAGGACATCTAGAGCTGCTTAGAGAGACCCTGTGTCAGAAAACAAAACTGTCAGTAACTAGGACTAGGTCTCCAGGAAGAAAGTGGGTGGGGTAGGTGCGGCTGCCGCAGTGCATCCCTGTACTGGGGAGTATGGCTTTTTACAGTTAGTATTAGAAGTGCCGGAATCCAGACTGGGGTCTGCGCACATTGTTCAGCAAAGATTCAGAGTCAAGACCTTGAAGAGTTCCTTTCTTTCAAGAAAGGGCATGGAGTTGGGTTGGTGGGAAGGATCTGGGAAGAGTGAGGGGAGGGGAAAGGGATCAGAGTACTGTATGAGAACAATTTCTGTTTAATTAAATAGAAAAACCTTAAACATGCTTACACAAAATTTAAAAAGAAGAGTTACTCTGAGCATTTTTGTCCATTGTAAAACGAAAAGATTGGGCTCTTAGTCCTTCTGGTCTTGTATTGATTGCTGATTTCTCAGTGTGGTACTGCTGACAAGCACTTTGTTCCAGTTCATGATAAAGCATTTTATAAAGTGTTCTGGGTCTGGATAGCTGGCTCAGCTGCTCAGACACCTTTTTGTTCTTGCAGAGAACCCAGCTTTGATTCTTACTGTCTACATGGTGGCTCACAATAGTCCATAGCCTCAGTTCAAGGAGTCCAATGCCCTCTTCTGACCTCCACGAGTACCAGGCACACATTGCGCACAGACAAAAATGTGATCAAAATACACATAAATAAATCTAAAGAAGCTTACTTCTTTTCTCTGTTATCCATAATTTTACCTTTTTGATATGTTTATATTCATAAGTGATCATTTTTTTAATGCTGCTTGTCAACATGATATGTTTTACATATTTTCTCAGCTTGCTAGGACACCCTGCCTCCTTTCTATTGCTAGTAATTGAATCAGGCCTTTGGTCATACCCATGCTAGGCAGGTGCAATTCCATTAAGCTACACCTCTTACAGAGACTCTTAAAAGTAATTTTATCTACTGGGTGGTGGTGGTGGCATATGCATTGGGAGGCAGAGACAAGCAGATCTCTGAGTTCAAGGCCAGCCTGGTATACAAAGGGAATTCCAGGATATCTAGGGCTACACAGAGAAACCCTATCTCAAAGAAAAAACAAAAAAACACAAGACTTTTTTGGAGGTTACAGTTTTATCAGTTACTGGTTCCTAGGGAGATAGCGTGCCAGAGTGGGCTGTGGAAGTGGTGAGAAATAGGAGAGAAGTACTGAAAAACCAGAGTTCAGAATAAACCTAAAACTTAGCAACTACTAAATGCACCCTTGCATATTAAGCAGAGAAAGGGGTTGTCTAATGAAGAGTTGAAACAGCTGATTTGGGATAAAGGTTAGGCTCGATTTCTCTGTCCATCTAAAGGCAGGTTAAAGATGCACATTTAATGTTGCTAAGGATGGAGCTTAGGCCTGCACATCTACCAGCATGTGCAAGGCCCTGTATTCAGCTTACAGCACTACCAGAACTAAGCTACAGCGTGGGTTAGGGAGATCTCAGAAACCCTCCTCCTAGATGAGGAGTTCCAGGCAGTTAGGCTGCTGAGAGAATCAGCTTTCCTGGGATAAACCCCTAATTGGTTAGCAGCTAGCCCTAAAAATATACATACAAGGAACACCAATGAGCTCAACAGGTTGTATCTGTGTGGGGAACGGGGAGGAGAGTAATAATTAAAGAAAACGTCATGAATTTGGTGGAGTGCCTGACACAGGATTATGTAAATACAGTAGATATCTATGAAATTTTTAAAGTAAGTTTTTAAAAATTTAAAAATTGAAAGTGTAATAAAATGTAAAACAACAAACCTAAAGACGTGAGTATTAGAAAGAATGACGTGATCAGCATTAGAAAAAACATACTAAACAACTGAAAAACTAGCAGACTAAGAAAGCAGACCGTAAGTCAGGCGTGGTGCTGCATTTGCAGTCCTAGCATGGGGGAGGCCCAGGCAGGTGAGTCAGGAGCCTGGGGAAGCAGGAGCTTGCTTGGGGAAGTAGGCGGAACTGGGCTGCAGAGTAAAACCCTGGCACACAAAAAGTCTAACTTAGAAACCCACATTCAAAGCCTTAAGTTTGAAATTTTATAAGTAAACCAATATGTGGTTTATAAAAACCATTTGTGGCTAGTTATTATAAAATTAACGAGATAATAGTAAGCTGGAAAATATTTTAGATAAGGGCTGTTTTCTTTGTAATTATATATTAGAGTTTACAACTAAGAAAGATGGGCATAGAACATGAATTAATACCTAATTTTTTTTTTTTTAATAACAATGAGTTTTTCCAACAGAGTCTTATTTTTTATTTATTTATTATATGTAAGTACACTGTAGCTGTCTTCAGACACCCCACAAGAGGGCATCAGATATCATTGCAGATGGTTGTTAGCCACCATGTGGTTGCTGGGATTTGAACTCGTGACCTCTGGACGTGCAGTCAATGCTCTTAACCACTGAGCCATCTCACCAGCCCTAATACCTAATTTTTAAAAAGACAAAAGGCTAGTAGGGAAATTGTTCACTCTTTCTCACGAAAGAACACAGTAAAGCTGGGTATGGTGCTGTACTCCTATAATCCCAGTATTCATGAGGTTGAGGCTGGAGGTTATCCTGAGTTTTCAGGTCAACCTGGGCTACATAGTAAGTACCAGGCTAACCAGTGCTACCTATCAAGACCTTGACTTTCAGAAAATAAGAAAGTAAACGAATTCATAGAAAAAGGAAATACCATTAAACAACAGTAGTGAGATCCTTCCCATGTAACAAGAAGTTTTGATTTTTCTCAGTTTTGAGGAGTTGAGGAGTTCTTTCTCACTTGCACTCTTGATGTATTTTAAAATTCAGACAGCCTTTGAACCAAGTAATAATCTACTTGAAATATTTTCTACAGAAATACTCTTTTATACAAAAAGTAGACGGGAGTTCTATGTTTACTCTCTATAAAAGTGTTCTGTGGGTTCTTAAAGTACGTGGGCATAAGTTTAGTGTGAGCCGTGTGTGTGAAATGTTCTGTGCTTGCATATGCCTGGAACAGTTCCTCAGTAACACTAGTTACAGTGAAAAAACTGGCTAAAAATTCTAGTCTCCATGATGTCTGTCCCCTGTCTGATGCCCGTGCTGGGATACCCTGGAGAGCTCTGTAAGATCTTACTCAGAGACCTTTTTAACAGCTTCTCTGTTTTTATTCTTAGGGTGGTTAAAATATTCTAAAAGTTGATAGAAAATAAGGCCAGGATCATGTTACAACAATCTTTCCATAGCTAGACTTAATGTTCCTGGAAAGAATCTAAATTTCTTCCTAAATTTTTATTTTTATTTTTTTATTTTTTATTTTTTTGGTTTTTTGAGACAGGGTTTCTCTGTGTAGCCCTGGCTGTCCTGGAACTCACTCTGTAGACCAGGCTAGCCTCAAACTCAGAGATCCACCTGCCTCTGCCTCCCAAGTGCTGGGATTAAAGGTGTGCACCACCACTGCCTGGCCTAAAATTTTTTTAAAGATTTATTAATTATATATACAGCACTGTGCCTGCACAGGCCAGAAGAGGACACCAGATCTCATTATAGATGGCTATAAGCCACCATGTGGTTGCTGGGAATTGAACTCAGAACCTCTGGAAGGGCAGACAGTGCTCTTAACCTCTGAGCCATCTCTGCAGCCCATTTCTTCCTAGATTTAAGTCCCCTAGGTATGTATCAGCTCTGTGTGTGGACAGCTTGTTGACTGAGAATTTTAGGATCTAGTGTAAAGCTACAGTAACTAGGAGCTCATTCTTGAGAAGCTGATGGTCTTAACCCTGGGCTAGAGCGAGTCAGTCGGTCAGTGTCTCTGAAAGCACGGCATGTCTTCATGCAGAAATGAGGATGGTGTGCTTGAGTGACAGTGTTAGGGTTAAATGAGACGACTGTGTAAAACTCAGTGCTGTAGCTCAAACTCAGTGCTGTAGCTCAGCCAGAAGTTAATCTCTCCATTCTTGGAAATCTTGTAGACATTTTTAGTGACGCATGTGCCATTCTGGACTTATAACTGTGCAAGTGCAGCATTGTGTTGAGCACGCAGTCCTTTGGAAGTAACTCCTTTTTCTGTTGCAGCGGGGTTGAAGTCTTTGAAGCACAGTCCTGTGTGCAGTGTGACACAAGATGGAAGTGTGTCAGGAACTGCGGAAACCAGCGATAAGCCTGGAGTGTGGCCACTGCAGTTTCCGGGGCACCGATTATGAGAACGTGCAGATCCACATGGGCACCATTCATCCTGAGTTCTGTGACGACATGGATGCTGGAGGCCTGGGCAAGCTCATCTTTTACCAGAAGAGTGCCAAGCTCTTCCACTGCCATAAGTGCTTCTTCACGAGCAAGATGTACTCCACTGTGTACTACCACATCACAGCCAAACACGCAGCCGCAGACAAGTGGGCTGACCAGCCGAAAGAGCAGCTGAGCAAAGAGACGGAGTCTGGGAAGAGCCCGCCCCTTCCTGAACCTCAGAACACAGGCTTTGACCCAGCAGAAGTGAGGCCCACTCCAACCCTCCCCATAGAAACACAGAAAACTAGTCCGAGTTTGTCTCCAGAATCACAAGCATCTGTTCCTCCAGTTCTAGAGCCTCAGAGCTCTGGTCCTGTTGTTTCACCGGAGCCACAAGGCCCTTGTCTTCCTGCTGAGGCCTCAAAAAGTGCTCCTGTTTCTTCCCCTGAGTGTCTAGACCCACCCTGTGAGCTTCCTGAGCTGGAAAAGCCTGAGCAAGTCCCTTCTCCTGAGTCAGTAAAATCTGCTCTTGTCAGCTCCAAACCCCAGAAGCACTCTCCCTTTGCAGATACAGGGGCTCCCCCTTCAGCCTTGTCTCCAGAGTCACCAGTTCTAGCCACTTCCCCTGAACCTTGGGGGCCATCCCTCAGTGCATCTCCAGAGTCTCGGAAGCCAGCGAGGACTGCCTCACCTGAGCCAAGGAAGCCATCCCCATCAGAGTCTCCTGAGCTTTGGAAGCCATTCCCTGCCATCACTTCAGAGCCACGGAGACCAACCCCAGCAGTATCACCAGGTTCCTGGAAGCCAGGGCCACCTGCTTCTCCTAGGCCTTGGAAATCCAGTCCTTCAGCAACATCAGGACCGTGGAAGTCATCTAAGCCTGCTCCACCTCTGTCTCCTGGACCTTGGAAACCAATACCTTCGGTATCACCTGGGCCTTGGAAACCTGCTCCATCTATGTCCACTGCATCCTGGAAGTCTTCAGTCTCATCTGCTTCCTGGAAAACACCACCCACATCTCCAGAGTCATGGAAGTCTGGTCCACCTGAACTCCGAAAGACAGCCCTTCCCTTGTCGCCTGATCATTGGAAGGCCGTGCCCCCTGTGTCTCCTGAGCTCCGCAGACCAGGCCCACCACTCTCCCCAGAGATCCGAAGTCCAGCAGGTTCTCCAGAGCTCAGGAAGCCTTCAGGGTCACCAGAGCTTTGGAAGCTTTCTCCTGACCAGCGCAAAACTTCTCCTGCTCCTCTTGATTTCCCTGAGCCCCAGAAAAGTTCTTGTGGTAGTTCTGATCTCTGGAAGTCTTCCTTCATTCTGGAGTCTCAGAAACCTAATGTCTTCTCTGAGACGAGGAAACATGCTGCTTCTGGCTCGTCTGAGTCACCGAAGGTAGCCTCAGACATATGGAAACCTGTCCTGTCTATTGATGCTGAGCCTAGGAAGTCCACACTGTTTCCTGAGCCCACCAAGACAGTTCTTCCTGCTTCTCCCGAGCCTCGGAAACGTGCACTTTTCCCAGAGTCCCGGAAGCATGTCCTTTTACCTGAGCTTCCCAAATCGGCTGTGTTCTCGGAGGCCCAGAAGGCCACTGAGCTTAGTGAGGAGATACAACTTGAAGCTGTCGAAGATGCAAAATGTGATAGTCTGGTCCAGGAAGGACTTCTGGCTACACCCAAGAAACTGTTAGATGACGCTTTATTCCCTTCTTCAAAGAAGCTCAAGAAGGACAGCCAGGAGAGCTCAGACGCTGAGCTCAGTAGCAGTGAGTACATCAGAACAGATTTAGACACCTTGGACATGAAGGGCCAGGAGTCAAGCAGCGACCAGGAGCAGGTGGATGTGGAATCTATTGATTTTAGCAAAGAGAACAAAATGGAGATGGGTAGTGCAGAGCAGGCCAAAAATGTCCTTCAGTTCACCGAGGAGAAGGAGGCCTTCATCTCTGAGGAGGAGATCGCAAAGTACATGAAGCGTGGAAAAGGGAAATATTACTGTAAAATCTGTTGCTGTCGGGCCATGAAGAAAGGCGCTGTCTTGCACCACTTGGTTAATAAGCACAATGTCCACAGCCCATACAAGTGCACAATCTGTGGAAAAGCATTTCTTTTGGAGTCTCTCCTTAAAAATCACGTAGCAGCCCATGGGCAGAGTTTACTCAAATGTCCACGCTGTAATTTTGAATCAAATTTCCCAAGAGGCTTTAAGAAACATTTAACTCACTGTCAGATCCGGCATAATGAAGAGGCAAATAAGAAGCTAATGGAAGCTCTGGAGTCGCCCTTGGAGGAGCCACAGATTTAATTTTCAAACATTGCCCCTTGCTCTACAGTGTTGCTTGCCAAACTCTTAGGTTGTTGAGTAGCCTGGATGGATCAGTAGCCAGTGTGTGTGTAGTGAGTGTGTCCTGTTTGTCTAAGTAGTGGTACAAAGAAGAAGTACTTGATTATTTTTTCATATGATCTTTTGTTTATGTGGCTGGCTATTTTATAAGTGAATACATTTCTGTTATAGATTCCAGATGGATATGACTCATTTTCCTTAAGCATATTTTAGTCATAATACAAGAGTGGGGGAAAGCAGGCAGGCCGTTTAGCAAACAAGGAAGTTTAAACCTAATCAGAGCCTTTCTCCTCCACCCTGTGTGTGTGTGTGTGTGTGTGTGTGTGTGTGTGTGTGTGTGTGTGTCAGATTTCAGAACATAGAAATTATTAGATGAGGCTCAGTGGTGGAGCCGGAGCCTCGCCTAGCATGTTTTTGCATACTTTCAGTCCCAGGGTTCCATCCCCTGTACCTTTGAAAAAAAAAAAAAAAAAAGGAATGTATGAGAATTGAGCATGAAAAGTAAAATTGAGAAAAGTTTTGTTAAATGTGCTTTCGAACCATGTCTTATATCTTATTTTTTCATGTCAAATTAGTTTATAAATCTTGACTATTTTCTTGTGTTCATTAATGTTTATGTTATAGAGCAGCGGTTCTCAACCTGCGGGGGAAATGACCCTTTCACAGAAAGCACAGATATTTACATTATGATGATAGCAAAGTTAGTTATGAATCAGCAACAAAAATAATTTTATGAGCTGGGTGGTGGTGGCACACGCCTTTAATCCCGGCACTTGGGAGGCAGAGGCAGGCAGATCTCTGAGTTCGAGAGTTCGAGGCTAGCCTGGTCTACAGAGTGAGTTCCAGGACAGCCAGGGCTACACAGAGAAGCCCTCTCAAAAAAACCAAAAAAAAAAAAAAAAAAAAATGTTATGGTTCGGGTGTCACCACTACATGAAAACTGTGTTGAAAGGTCACAGCATTAGGAAGGTTGAGAACTGCTGTTGAAGAGAGTTAAAGGGTCGCTGGTTTTCTGCTGATAGGAAAACTGAGCAGGTTTTTAAAGCAGTTTTGGTATTTTCTGTAGGCTGGGAGGACACCCCTCCCTGTAGTTGTTTGCAATGAAGTCTTCCTTGTGGGGTCTTGCCCTTCACTTCCCAGCCAACTCCCATCAACAGATGATCCTTAATTGCCAAATGTGTTAGTGTTTGTACCTCCGACTCTGGGCCGCATGTACTTTGTGTTGGGGCTCAAGATGTGAGCGGTGAGCCGGAGCTGAAAGTCTTCCAGATTCACAGTAAAGAGGTCCTAAACCGTGCTGGCGTGGCAGCGGGACACAGTAGACTCACACTCTGCCTCTTGGGAGCTGGGTCAAAGACAGTTCACTTGAGCCTGGCCTAGCCTGGGCAGCGCAGTGAACTCCTGCCTCAAAAAGCATTCCTGTTTGAAAAACATTTTGCTTTTGTTTCACATGGTTTTGCCATTGTAAATACCTTGTATCTCTGTGGATTATTCTAACATATTTTGTTAAATGTGTATCAACCAAATTAAAAAGGCTTTCATGTTAATATCTTCACGTGCACTTTTTTTTAATAATTTGCATTATAATCAGACTCACGATGCCTGAGGAAGGTGATTTAAAATAAGAAAGGCTTATTTTGGTTCTCAGGTTTGTAGGTTTTGATGGCTTGTAGGCATGTGGCAAGGAGGAAGGGTTCGGCAGAGGAACACTGCTCCCTCAAGGTATCCAGAAGAAAAGAGGAATGGGAAAGGACCAGGGCCAGGATCTAGCCCTCACAGGCACACCACCAGTGACCCACCTTGCCCAGGCGTGCCACCACTTCCCAATGGTATATTCAGTTTTTACTGTAGAAGCTGAAGCATTGGCAGAACAGGCTTCACCACCCACTTCTGAAAGTGCCCTCAGGCACAGCGGGGTGCTTCACTAATGCCTGCATGTTGGTCCACTCAAGTCAGCAAGGTTAATTGTGGGAATTTTCAGTGGATTGTACCCAAATGCCATCTTCTTAAGAGACTAGTTTTCATGTGTTGAGCCGTACATGCTAAGACACCTTTTCCCTTAGTTCTGAATAAAGATGCTTGCATTTCAGCAGGTTGCCAGTCTGTTACTGCACAGCTAGGATTTAGCACTTCGAGTTCAAAGCCTTAAATCCTGTTCTGTTTTAAGATGTGAGATTTAAGCCATTGTTGTTGCCCCGTCCACTCTGGTTTTAGACCTTGTTGTATGTATTAAGAACAACTAACTAATTTGATGGAATGACTTTGCTTCCTCTAAGGTAGCCACCTAATCATTATGACCAGCTTAATGCATCTTTATTGTCTTCCTCTGTAAGACTAGTTGCAATGAATCTCATGTAGTGTTTTCATGGACTACCACAGGAAGTAAACAGCAGTCTCCACATCTGTGGAGTGGAGCCTGTGCATCCTTGGATACTAACAAATACCTGAAAAAGCATCCTAACAGGGTCCTGTCTGGTCCCCCAAGAAAGTCCTTTCCCGGGCTGGTGAGATGGCTCAGTGGTTAAGAGCACTGACTGCTCTTCCAGAGGTCATGAGTTCAAATCCCAGCAACCACATGGTGGCTCACAACCATCAGTAATGATATCTGATGCCCTCTTGTGGGGTGTCTGAAGACAGCTACAGTGTACTTACATATAATAAATAAATAAATAAAAATTTAAAAAAAAAAAAAAAAAAAAAAGAAAGTCCTTTCCCCAAGGTCTGCCATTTAGACAAAGGCCTCATTCCCTCCTGGGCTTGAAGAAAGTTTCTGCTTGCTAAAAGTTCCGCTAGCTCTGGCAAGAGCAGCTTGTGACCCTTTCATTAACAGGTGACTTTGGTGCTTGCTGTCAAGGTCAAGGCTAGCCTCTAAGCTCCCTCAGTCACTGCTCACAATCACCAACCAAGCTCATAAACCCCCTTTCTCCCAGTCCTGTTTAACCCTGAAAATCTTCCCAGTATCTTCTTCTCCTTGCTTTCCTGGGAGGGAGCCTTAGCACTTTGGAATAAACTTTTCCCTTTTCTCCCAAGGAGCAGCTGTTGCAGTTTCTTTAGTGCACCCATTTTCATTTGGGTCCTTAAGCCCCAGATCTAAAATAACAATTTCCAGTGTAGCGGTTACCTGTCCTTGTATACTTTTGATAACATGATGTAAGTTTCCTGTCACAACACCCTCATGTTAACCCCAGTTGGACTAGGGCAAAATAAATTCCAATTCTAATTAGCCCTTGGGATCGAATTGCTGCTGTTGGCAAACCAGGCAGGTAGCTCTCCTATCTTGAGCTCCTAGGCTGCCTGTATGCTAAGTGACTTATGGCTCTGCCAATAGCGTGAGAGAGATCCAGGCTCTACTCGTACTGGTTTTACAGAGTATTCCTACCACCGAAGTAGATTGGGGGTCTGGTTAACAAATGTAAGTGGCCTGTGTACCCATGTGTCAGACGAACACAGGATTAATAAAAGATGTAGCTCTATGCTCCTTAGAAAACATACAAGAACAAATTTAAGAGGAAAGAAAACACTCAGATACTTAGGTTGGCTGTTTCTGATAGTTGATTGCTTTGAAGGCAGGGTCTCGGATAGCCCACATTGACCTTGAGCTTGGTGTGTAGCTGAGGATGAGTTTGAACCTGTGATCCTCCAGTCTCTACCTCTTGAATACTGAGACTACAGGTATGCACTACCACGCACAGTTTATGTGGTGCTGGGGATTGAACCCAAGGCCTTGTGCATTTTAAGCAAGCACTCTACCCATCAAGCCACACCCTAACCCTAGTTTAGGGAAGGAAGTACAGCAGCAATACACGTAATCAATGAACAAGGGGTGAATTTAGTAGCAACTGGAATGGTCCTAAGTACATATCAGCACATTAAAAATATATAAAGCAAAAGCTTATGAATAAAAAAACAGTTGGAAAATTAATTTACCTCTCAAAAAGAGAAGCTTATCAATACCAACGCTATATACAAGATCTGGACTTCTCTTTAGGAAGCTATGTGTCTTATTTCTGTAAAACTCACAGGGGCTGCAGGGTAGGCACAATTCAAGTATTCATGGGCATGATGAAAACAGTCTGGGCCCTAGAATAAATTAAAACCTCCAAGGGTGAATGTTCATAACTCTACCACTGTGGAATCAAGTTAGAAATCACTAGTGAAATGAGGCATTCCAGATGTTTCGAGATTAAATGACACCATTCTAAATGACCAGAATGGAAGTCGTTTGGCATCAAATGATGGTTTAATATATGACAGGAACTCTGAGCTGCAGCTAGAGCTGTGGACAGAGGGAGAAGAGGGCAGATCTCATGGAACCAGAGTTATAGGTGGCTATGAGCCACCTCATAGGATGCTGGGACCAAACCTAGGTGCTCTGCAAGAGCAGTAAGTAGCCTTAACTTCTGACACATCTTTCCATGTGGGTGAGGGAGCATTCAGCCCCAGAGCCAGGCTTTAGGGCAGGGAGTCTGGTAACAATGTCATGGACCAAATGGGGATGCGAGTTGAGGGCGTCTTTAGATAGGATGCTCCCAGAGTTTTCTTGTGGCTTACCGGGTGTGACAGGGAAGGAAAAAGAAAAAAAGAAAAGCCCTGAAGCTGAGACACCTTGTTTTGTTCAGGAAGTCTTCCTTTCCTTCCTGCTTGGACAGTGCCAGTGGCTCCTTTGAGCTAAAATCCATGGCCCTTAGGTTTGTCTCCCTGGCAAACTCTTGTTAGTTCTGTGCTCTGGATCTCACTCCTTTGTCGCCTGTTCCTGATGAAGTTCTCCTTGGGCTATCATCGGACAGGGAAACTTTGTGGTGGCTTTTAGCCCGCCTGTGGCCTCTTGACAGTCTTCTGTATTTCTGTTAAGTTTTTCTTGGAGCATATTGTTTGACAATAAGTTTGGATTCTTTGGTGCCAGCTTGATAAGACATTACAGAGCCATTAAGAAAAGCCATACTGGGGCTGGAGAGGTGGCTGGTTTAGTGGTTAAGAATACTCAGTGTTCTTATAGAAGACAGGGGTTCACTTCCCAGCACCTACACGAAGGTTCACAACTATCTTAACTCCAGTGGTTCGACTGCTTGCTTCTGGCTTCTTCCGGCAAGGTATGCACATAGAGCACTTACATACATGCAAGTAACACACACACACTAAAAGAAAAGCCATGCTATTTGGAAATCTCTGCTGTGGTTTGAGAAGGTGCAAATTGTGTTTCAGAACTCCCTAGAGTTATCTGCATAAGAGAATTGATGGTTTGGTATTTTTAAAGAAGTATCTTGAGTCAGCTTAGGTTTAATTATAAATGGTAAACACAAGACCCCTGGTAATTCCTACAAGTCTACCTATACCTCATTGAAGGGACCTGTGGTAGAGCTGTAAAACTGATTCCTTGCACCTCATCAGTGTGCCCACCATTCTGGGCTGGTTCCTGACTTTACAAGGTAAGCTGCCATAAGTACTCCAATCTCAAGTACGAGGTAAGGGTTCAGGGTTCTATGTCTGCAGCCCTTTTTGCTGGTTTGAAGTCCTGTTTTCTTTCTGGTGAGTTTTTAGTTCTGTGTGCTTAAGCTAACTTTTTTTCTATTTATTTTTTTTTAGACTTATTTATTTTATGTATATGAGTACACTGTTGCTGTCTTCAGACACACCAGAAGAGGGAATCAGATCCCATTACAGATGGTTGTGAGCCACCATGTGGTTGCTGGGAATTGAACTCAGGACCTCTGGAAGAGCAGTCGGTGCTCTTAACTGCTGAGCCATCTCTCCAGCCCTGTTTTGGTTTTAATTTCTTGATTTTTTT